TATTTCGGACAAGATGTTTTGTTTTCTACTTAATTCTGGGACCTCACTACACTTTCGATAGATCCATTTTATTATTTTTCGAGATGCACGAGGAATACAACCAAAATAAAATTCTGTTTAATCATCTGGCTTTTGGTATTGTAGGAACAATATATTTTATTCTTAAATAGTAATTCACCTAAGTTGTTTATACGCTGATAAAACGGTTTTGGGGGCGAACTTCAAGGGATCTCCCGGGTAACTCAGGGACCACTGGTCCAGCGACGTTCTCTACATCACGATGATATAACCCACTCTGATCTGGGTTATGACTTCGGGTCGGATCCTTGAAAACACTCGTGGTTCCGATTCCTTGTCCTGGCACAAAAACAGTCACTGAGCGAACAAAAAACTGCACAATTAAAATGAAGTTCTTAATCTCTCAGTCATCGAAATATACACCACAGAACAAAGAATGCCCAATTCAGCTTTCGTTTATCCTCTGAATTAAATTCCCCTTTATCCTTCTGTGAAATTCTAAGGGATATTCTAATGAATCTCTTAATTTCCACGAAATCAATAAATTATCTAAACATGTGTATGGGTTTAAATGATTTATAAATATGATTTCAGATACTTTGTAAGCTTCGTCATCCAATTCCAGTTTCACAGAAGTCTGTGCAAAAAAGCTGGTCAGTTTGACCCCAATAATCCGAAGAAACCACTTCATGAATGTGACATCTATCGAAGTACTGAGGCCGGAAATCTTCTACGGTAATTAATCACAAAAGAAATATTCTTATGAAAACAAGGCCGTAAGGATGTTAGCTTGAGGTTCTCTGCAGAGACAACACAACGAGGAATTTCGATATTTAGCCTACAAAAGTCACTTGATGCTATCAGAATAGTGGAATCTACTAGGCAAGTGGCTAGGATAAGGAAAGTGAGAAACGCATACAGAATTTTGATGTGGAAATGCCACTTTGAAGACAGAGAAGATAAAAGTGCTCATAGGTTGAGGATAGGCAGTGGATTAAACTGAGTCAGATACGAAGCATTAAAAGGATCGGTATCGTACATTTGGGCCCTGAAATTACGGCGATAATTACATTAATTGCCCTAAGTTATGTAGCTCGCCAATATTAGGCCCTTGTAGAAGAGATGTGTCGTTCGAGAATGTTAATGACGAAAAGAATGAGTTGGCGTCTTCTGGTCAACGAGTTGATCTGGATTCTAGGTTTTTGTTCACCCTGAAAGGTAGAGTGTGTGTGGATTATACGTGAGCTCAGTCTTCGAAAATGGTCGATGTATTGTTCGAGAGTCGAACCGTGCATGTGATTCATAAGCTTTTACGTCTTCAATCAAGTTGCTCGGTGCTTTATTGAATCCGTATTTCAGACGTGATTCAGTATAAAAGTGGAAGTGAGAATAGTTTACGCTCATTTAAGGACTGGTAACCTAAATGAAACATTTTTTCCATTGTCATGGCCTATATGAAGCTCTGGGTGTATTCAGAAATATATATTTAAATAGCAATTAAGCCGATTACTCTAAATATTAAAATAACAAATATACGAGTTTATAATAAAAGTGTAGAACGCAAGGCATATGAATATCTGGGAATGTAAGAAATGTTTTTGAAAATATCACAGTTTTTTTAAAGTCAGTAATTTTCTTCTCTTGAGTGACCTTTAGAAATGTTAGTGTCTTATGTAAGTAGTAAAATTATTTCATGTATTTTATCACATACTCTTCAGACTCTATAAATTTCTCAATAGATAGGAAAAGATTTAAGACTTCAGGCAATTTTTACAAATTTCCCATTTCACTAACCGCGGAAGACATTTTAAAATCACCCAATGTTCCTCGCAGAGAAATGTTGCAGATGGGTTCATCAAAACCTTGGCCGGATGCAATGGAAGTTTTGTCGGGGCAAAGAGAGATGGACGCCAGTGGAATGCTGGAATATTTCAAACCCCTCACAGAATGGCTGGAAAAGAATAACAAGCAGTTTGGAGAACATATTGGCTGGGAGCCAAGTCATAAACGTATGTATCATTTTGCTGGTTTATAAGAGTAGAGAAATGGACGTTCATTTGTGGACGCAGTCTCAGGTAGTGCTTCTATGAACCATGTAAAGCCGTGGCTTATTTCAGTCTTTCACGCGACGAACGTTCTGCATGTCACGGCCTGACTGCTAGCTCAGCTGACGCTCAGGACAGTGACCCGACTGCAACCAGTACCTTCCATCATTCTCTCCCACTCTCTCTCTCTCTCCCTACTCTCTAATTCTCAAGTGCTTACCTCCTTCAATTTTCCTTCATCATTATTATATCTTTCGTTTCAATTGTATTCCTTTTTGTGGTTTTCGCTGTTTCTCCCCTGTCCACATTTTAATACCATCTATTTGTATTTCTACATTTTTCTGTCTTCATTCTACATATTGTATTTCCTGTTTATCTCAACTTACATCTCTTGTTCTCCCTTCCCCTTCCCCCCCCCCGGGTGTGCCAACCCTCTCCGCAACTGTTTTTGTTGTTCAGCTAATCCTCACTCCGGTCCCCTCTCTCCCTCCCACAATCCCACAAAAAACCAGTGCGCGGCTGAATAATCGCATTGATGAAGGAGGCAGTTATGTCCTCTGAAACGTCGGCTAGCATCTACCAGACTACACAGTAAAACATTCCAGAAGACAGCCATCTTCTTCTTTATTATTTTGCATAAGTTTATTTTACTGCTGTTGTTATTGAAATTCTCCCAGCAGTTCCGTGTTGTCCGCGTCATTTTACTTCTGTTTTTCTTCCTTTCTTTATATCATCTTCTTCCTCCCCCCACCACAACCGAAAAATTACATTCTAGACTCTCAAGTGTCTTCAGCCTCAAAGTTTGTTTAATAAGCGGCACAAGAATGAATATGACTCGAAAAAAAATCGATTCTAATCGCATCGAAGCAACTAGCAACACGAAACAAAAAAGAAGCGATTACGCGATACACTGTGAAGCGTTCGCACCGAGAAGTTCGAGACATCGTTTTTAAAACTATCGATCAGTGACAGGTGACACGTATCGAAAGCAACTTTTCTGTACGTCTCCTTTTCAGCAATTTGATTGCGTTGATGTGAAAGCAATGCGATGATTAGACTTATCGCTTTTGCCTGTTGCTTATGAGTTGCCAGATGCTTGCCAAGATTTGCAGGAGTTAATACCGACAGATATCCACGAATAGAGCCTAGAATCGATTTTGCACTAAAGAGCGTATGAAGTTTATCTTGGTTTTGTTCTAGTTTCTACTTTGCATGTATTTACATAGGCAAAAGTCTGCTTTAGTAATAAGGACAGATAACAGTGGTGGCCGCGGTCACTGGATTCCTCCGCGGTCGAGGCTAAACTGATCAAACATTTCTCGAGATCCCATCACTGTTAAACTACAAATATTCTTATATTCATATAAAATCTGTCTTCCAATTTAAGAATCGTTATTCTCTACATTTATTAACACTTTTTCCTCTCTTTGTGTCAGGACGAAAGCAATTCGTGAACCATGTGAGCGTCATTAATTATCGTGGATTTCTTTATCATAGCAGTTTCTTAATTAGAAACGCTGAATCCATGGAAGGATTTAAAATAACATGAATCGCGTGATGTCCATTTGGAATAAATAGCTTTATATAGTACTAATGAGATACAATAAATCGTAGGAAAATGTCTTTGTTTCGTTACCATCGATGTAAATATTGATAAATTATTGTGATTTTTAAATTCATATAAACGATAAAAAATATGTCAATTGAATAAAAATTTACTTGGATATTATCCATCGTCTAGTAATAAAACGTAAAAAACGTAAAACGACGTTTCGGAGATGGGACTCTATCTCCGTCTTCAGGTTCCTACACAGTTGGGCCAACTAGATAGAGCTGATCCCTAGTCCCATCTCCGAAACGTCGTTTTACGTTTTATATTTACTAGACGATGGATAATATCCAAGAAAATTTTTATTCAATTGACTCTTCACCATCGTCAAGAAGTTTTAGATTTGATAAAAAAAATATGTGTTATGACATTAATATAAGAATTTATTTGGTGTGATTTTCGTGTTTCGTTATAAAAAAATATATTCTTGTGCTGAACGGAGTGAAATTTGCAGTTTGTACCAAAACAAGATCGGAACTGTCCACCCTCAGGGTCAAGGATTAGTTGGAAGAAGATACATCCGGCGGGGTTGATCACAAACAGCAGGACTAAGCTCGAACATCGATTATTGTCTTTTACTGGGTCTGTGAAATTTAAAAATATAAGAATAAACAATGTGTAAATGTATGGCCTAAATAGTAAAAGGAAGGAAAGATTAGATTTGTTGAATTTTCCTCAATATAAATTGAACTTTATCCCTGTGTTGCTCACAGCCATTTGAAATACAGGAAACTCTCGGTTTACGAACGAGTTCAGTTTCAAGACGTTGTTCGTTATACGTTTTTGTTCGTTATGTGTATATTACATTCCTGAGCTTTTACGATATTATTATATATTATGTTATATATTATAATCGGGGGAATCACCCAATTTCTTTCCCACGAGAAAACATTCTGCGCGGCGTGGCATGTAAACCAACTTTTTTTACTGGCTAGATTAGTTTTATTAACCAAGAACAG